TATTTGAGATGAGGTATTATGTACACTATTTACATTATTTGGACTATTGTCCTCATCTTTGTCGCCATATTTATTACAACCTTTCGGCCGTTTTTTCTCATCAGAATCCATTTGCACATTTATAAATTTATCATTCGTTCGTGCATTGAATATTTTTTTGCCATATTTGGTCTTGTACTTTATAGCTCGAGATTCGCAACAAAATCCAAAGAATAGTCTGTCATGGAATCGGTTCTAATCTGGTATCTTGACTCCTGACACTTTTTGTTATTGTAATTTACCCACACACGCATGGGTTCTCCCAACTATAAATAGGAGCAGGTACTGCCTTTTGGAGAATGAAGTCTCCAGCAGTCAGCTCTGACAGTCAGATCGAACATTCTTGCTGTAACACTCTCGTTTGTATATGTTTTTATTACTGTTTCTGTTAATATATTTGTTTAAATCAATTCCTCCCTTGTGTCTTTATTTCTGGCCCTAACAAGGCTACAACACTTTTCTAGAGCTTTGTGGTGGCTTACCTCTGTCGTTTCTATAAATATTTTCATGGCTATTGTTCTAATGAGCTTTTCTACCTGGTGCCTTAACCGTATGAATTTAAGCGTACTACTCGATTGGCAATTAGGTCTCACGTTTTATTGTTGAATTATCTAGATGTAACAGTTTGTTCTATTCTAATAGGTTCTTTTCTCGCACGTGGAACTCTTTTCCGGTTTCTTGCATCCCTGCCAACTACAATCTTCAAAAAATTAAATGCAACGACAATCACAATTTTCTGTTTTCCTGAACTCTGTTTTTTATTGTCCTTTCTCGTCACTAAAGTTTTCTCATTCTATTTCACACCCACTTGCGGTTAAGTGGCATTATCGCCTTACTTGAAATGATTTTTAAAAATGTTCCAAATGTTCTTAAATAGGGTTCTTTTTATTAAATAAAGACATGTCTGAAAAATTTTTTAAATTTAAAGTTTAATGCCACTTAATTTTTTTTTTTTTTTTTCATTTTAGCAATTGTTAGATTTTTTTTTACGGAAGTTCAAAAAGAAATATTTCTGAATTGCCTCCCTTGATTGTTTACTCTTCCATATCGAAAAAATAATATGATATATGATAATTCAATAAGACTCAAATGCAGAATAATTTTTTTTAAATAATTGGTGGAATTATATATTTTATGACATCAAACAAGTAAGTAAATAAAAAATAAAAGCAATGAATTAAACTCTAAAGAATCATTTCATTAGTTTCCCATTTATTTCTTTTGTATACATCTAATGTAGTATAAAAAATAGAATTATTCATACTACTAAGCTTCATAAAAGTGTACAGAATAAAAAATTATATCATTAATCTACTGGTTACAGAAGATCAAAGATAATTTATTTTTTAAATAGCATTCTTTTTATTATTGCACTATTGGTGTTCTGTATTTCTTTAAATTTTTCTTTTTAATTTTTCGCGCGTTTTTGAAGTCAGGAATGAGATTAGACAATTATTGCTATTCATTTATATTAAATTCATCCGATAAAGTCTATTTAAATTTTGCTGTATTTTTGAACTTCTTGAATGAGTTGTTACAAATCCGCATCTAAATTGTCCAAATTTATGTTTTTGTTCCTTTTTGTCCATTTGAGCGCTTGTGTCTTGATTTACACTAAATGCTATCAATGTCGAAGATAAACGCTTTGTTAGCTACATCCTGGCATTTACAGAACGTCGCATTACAAATTTAAATATACTTTCATCGTACAAATTAAATCCTGTGTAGAACGGGTGAACAGAGATAAACAACATCGGAAATGTGTACATAAATAATTTCTGTAATTATTTCATATAAATTTTAAAATATTTTTAAACATTTTCAAATGCTCCCTACTACGAAGTGGTTAACCACCTTACATCCCATGATCTGCTCTCACACAAGCAATATGGTTTCCGCTACGCACGATCTATAGCTGATGTGCTTACGGCCATCACTGAAACCTTCTACCAAGCCCTTCAAAATAACGGTGAGTCTCGTGCCAAGGCCCTAGACATCTCCAAAGCGTTTGATAGGGTTTGCAATGCTGGCCTTCTTCGTAAGCTCCAGGGTTATGGTATTACAGGTCGATTGTTTGACCTAATACAATCATTCCTGTCAAACCGTGAATTGAAGGTCGTTCTCAACGGATTCTCCTCCAGTTCCTATCCACGAACGCAGGTGTTCCCCAAGGCTCCATCCTTGGTCCCACTCTATTCCTTATTTTCATCAACGACCTTCCTGATCCCATAGATTCCCAAGTTGGCATCTACGCGGACGACACTACAATTTACTCCTGCCTCAAAAACAAATCTAGTGTCGGCGACAAAACTAACCTGGCTGTGCGTCTTGAAATGAACCTCCAATCGGTTGTTAATTGGGGCAAGAATTGGCTGGTCAACTTTAACGCCTCAAAAACTAAACTACTCTCTATTAATCACCATAGAGATCCTTCCCTGCCCCCACCGCCATTAGAATGTGATGATAGTCAACTCGCCTTGAGATCAACTCGCCCCCTGCGTCTGCTCGGTCTCACGTTGACTGCTGACCTGAGATGGAACAAATACATTGAGTCAATTGTCTTCTTCCACCGCGAGGAAAGTTGGCTCTCTGTGCAAGGCCCGCGCCAGGAAATTTTCTCCCCGGAATCGATATTTCAAATATACAAATCAACCATTCGCCCTTACATGGAACGCAGGGTATTGCTGCCATATATGGTCTGGGGCACCTTCTGTTTAGTGTCCTCGGAGTTCTTGACAAGATCCAGAGACGGATATAATAATAGAGATCCTTCCCCGCCCCCCACCGCCATTAGAATTGGTCCTGATCTGGCGTCTCGTCAAATATAGTCACTCTCTCCACAGATGCGCCGTCGCCTCTCTGTCATTTTCTATTGCTGCCAAATATTTTCATGGTAATTGCTCTGATGAGCTGCTTTCACTGGTTCCCAGATTTCCATGAATTCAAGCTGCCCTGGTTTGAACACTATAGAAACTATTAAATGTAGCCGTCTCTTCTACTCCAATAGCTTCATGCCTCGCACCTCTCGTCTGTGGAACACCATTCCCAATTACTGTTTCCCTGAGAGCTATAATCTCCAACTATTCAAATGTAATGTCAATCGACATCTCCAGTTACCTTGATCTATCCACTATCCCTCTCCTCATCCTTTCTTCTATCACTCCTATCTGATCTTGCTCCAAATCTTCTGCAACCCCCCCTGCATTCTAGTGGCTTCACGCCTTGCTCGTGGCGTAATACTTTAAAAGAAAAAATATATATGATGTTCCTCGTAGGGTGATCTGGGCAACTTGTGTGTTGATGTTACCTTGGACACTGTTAGTAATATTGTCCATCCCTTTTCTCACGAGGCCCAGTGCTCTGATTACTATTAGAACAGTCTCAGTCTTCATTTCTTATATACTGTTAATCTCGATCTCCAGGTC